ATCTTTTCAATAATCTGCTACTGTTTGTTGGCAGGAATGAGATTCATTGTAATGTCTTTACCATCATCCTATTGTGGGGCATATAATTTTAAATTTCTGCTGTGCTGATAACTGATAAGTGAGTGTTGAGATTCACTTGGCTTAAGTTGAATGGAAAGTTAGTATATCTTTGGGAAGTATGGATAGTTAATCCTCATTTTGAAAAAGTAAAAGTAGCATGATACATGAGTTATGCTATTTTCTGGTTAAAAATTGAAAATCCAGTTTACCTATTTGTTATTTTTGATTTTTGATTTTTTTTTAAATCATGAAAAGGTGTTACAATTGTTTTGATGCATTCGAATTGTCTTGCATTGTATGGTAGAAAATGCCATATATGGGTTTCTTAGTTTCTTTTTTATTTTATTTTTTTGAAATGCAAATTATTATTAACTAAGAGTTTAGCTCTTGTGTGAAGTAGTGGAGTTGTAAGAAAGGGCTGTTTGGGGTTTTCAATTGTTAACTGCAGGGTTTTAGTGACCATATTCAGTAATTCCATGTGCTCACGTATATGTCAGTTTTGAAGTCAGTGGAGTTCTTGAGCGTCAGATATTACAAGTACATTTTCTAATTTAATCACAGCACTCCTGGATTTCCTTATAATGCACCTTGAAGAAGAAGGTTGATGGCGTGATGCATAGTTTTCTGGACGGGTCATTTTTCATTTTAGGCGTTGTTATGAACTTCTTGAGCCTTTTAGATTGCTGTCGGACACTTAATCGAACTTCTCTTGATTTGCGTTTTCTTTTCCATGAAGAAAACTTGATGGCTTTTACTTCTTTTCACTTGGATTGTTATTGAACAATAGGGCATACTTTCTTTATCATTCTGTTGGATTCACATCACTGTAGTGCTATGTTTGAATTAGATTATGTTTGAATTGGATTTGTTCTTAATTTGGGAATTAACAGGTGTAGTTACCGTTATTTGTGCTCCAATGGCAAGTGGGAATCCTTTTTTTGATGATTTGAGCTCAAAACCAGAAATCATTGATCCACCTGAAAATGAAGACACTTTGGATGTTGGAGAGCATGTCAACAACCCTGCTGAAAGTGCTCTAAAACCTAATGTTGCTATATCAAGTAACGTTCGTGAGCTTCTAGAGTGCCCAGTTTGCTTGAATGCTATGTATCCTCCAATTCATCAGGTACATTAATTCTGCAAACTGTCATACAAAAAAAGGATGAGTCATCTGTAAGTCACATAAATACTTCCCATTCCTCACACTCTGTACTGTGTTGTGTCTGCATTTGATTTATTTGATCTCTATTTGTACTTTTCTTAGTTACTAGTACTGTGGCTTGGTTCTTGATTATACAAGGAAGGAATAAATTTATTTGGGCTCAGAATTTTGATGCCAGAAATCCTGAACTACAGTTATAATATTCGTACCTTTTATAAGTCAAAGAGAATATAAAGTCTTTCACATTGTTTGTTTCAGCTTCATGCTTGCTGGGGGTTATAAATGATAGGTCAAAATGGCTTACAATTAAGACCGTTTGCCATGAGAATGATGCGTGACAGCAATTGTTATATGTAGCTTTTATTTTCTTCTGACCAAACAATAGTGCATCAACTTATTTTCAAAGAGCATGTGTTTTCTTACAAAAGTGTGAGGCAGTTCTTTTGGGTTGGTAATTACACCATTACTATTTGTGGATTTCATATTTTCTGGTGGATCTTCATGAGTACTTGAATGACTGTTGGCTTTTATAGCTTTGACACTCCTTCTCTTTCCCAAATTTGACTCCTTTTATTTTGCAGTGTTCGAATGGCCACACATTATGCTCTGGCTGCAAGCCCAGGGTTCACAACCGCTGCCCAACTTGCAGGCACGAGCTCGGCAACATTCGATGCCTGGCACTGGAGAAAGTAGCCGCGTCCCTTGAGCTCCCGTGCAAATATCAAAATTTCGGGTGTCTTGGCATCTACCCTTACTACAGCAAGCTCAAGCATGAATCCCAATGCAGCTTCAGGCCGTACAACTGTCCTTACGCGGGGTCTGATTGTTCGGTTTTGGGCGATATCCCGTTTCTCGTGAGCCACTTAAAAGATGACCACAAAGTAGACATGCACAGTGGCAGCACCTTCAACCATAGATATGTCAAATCAAATCCGCACGAGGTCGAGAATGCCACGTGGATGCTCACGGTATAGTAGTATTTTCTCTTGTTCATTGTTAAGATTTCTAATCCAGTATTTATTTATGGGATGCCGCGTATATGTAGTCCGATTTCTGCGTTGATCTATATCTTTTTTTTTACTGTATTTTAGTTGTTACTGTTGTACCACTATGTTATCTTAGAACGTAAGCTTTTTTCTCTAACATAGTAAAATGATACTCACTTACTCAGAATTCAAAAAACTAAAGAAAGAAACAGAGAGAGAGAGATAGAGAGAGAAGCATTAAATATTACTGAAACCCACTTGTTCGATTTTGTTTTGGGCTTTTTAATTTGAATGAGGATATGTGCTTTGATCGAGCACGATGGCAACATGTGATCCATATAGCCGACCCCACTTAGTGGGATTTTATCGGCTTGTTGATTGATTGATTGTGTGTGTGTGTGTGCGCGTGTTTTGTGTGTTCAAAAAAAGCGAGTTAGTCATTGAGGAATAAATATCCATGATCTGTCGAATTATATTTAAGTGTTAAAATACATGGCATGTCTAAACACCCCACATATCCACTAAATAAAGGGTATCAAGAATTTCCTAATCATAATTTCCTCATCTATTGCTGTTCTTGATTTATGCAGAAAAATAAAACTTGACTATACAATTGGACTCTTATCTGACATGGCAAAATTCTGACAATTCTTGTCACAACACACTGCTAACCTTTTTTTTTTTTTTTTTCTTTNTTTTCTTTTGCACATAATATTCAAAAAATTTAAATCAGGTTTTCAGTTGCTTTGGGCAGTACTTCTGCCTGCATTTCGAGGCGTTTCAGCTCGGGATGGCACCTGTCTACATAGCCTTCTTACGTTTCATGGGTGATGATGACGATGCAAAAAATTACAGTTATAGCCTCGAGGTTGGGGGCAATGGGAGGAAAATGATATGGCAAGGCGTGCCCAGAAGCATCAGGGACAGCCACCGGAAGGTCCGTGACAGTTTTGACGGGCTCATCATTCAACGCAATATGGCCCTCTTTTTCTCAGGTGGAGACAGGAAAGAGTTGAAGCTCAGGGTCACTGGTCGGATTTGGAAGGAGCAGTAATTGTAATGATTATTCATGGATGCACGACCTGAAGGTGATTGTGTGATTTTAGCTTTAGAATTAGATTTTTTTTCTTTGTGTTCGTTGGGCAAGGTGGTTTCGTATGGTCATGTGTTGCTCGAGTTTCGCTTGGGCAATCTCTCCTTGCTCGTCCGATGCATTAAATACATGGTGTTAGACTTTAGAAGGGGCCTTAATCCGTGTTTGCCGTGCTTTAGGATGTTGTATTAGTGATGTGGAATCTTTGTAGTCCATGTTTGTATGTTTGTTCTTTGGTAAAACTTATTAAAATTTGTGCCATCAAGCTGCAAAGAGATATGATGGGCTATAAAGAGATTGTGTAATATGTATGTGGTTATCATATCGAAATTCGTCTCAACCTATGGGCCAGTCCGACCGGCTTGGTATTTTGGTGGGTTTAAAGCCTTTGTTTTCCGGCCAAGCTCAAATGGGAGCAACTCTCTGCTAGGGCTGCAAACAAGTCTAGCGAAGTTTAGCATTGGTTTGATCACATTAGGATCAATATTTATGCAATGTTGTTCTAGCTTGAGTTCGACCTTTTAAGAGTGTTTGGTAAGAGTTGTAGTTAGTTTATGATTAGTTTATAAGCTTCTTGTTTGCAAATAAGATTGAAATGGTATGATCAATTGTTTTATAAAGTTAGAGTTTGTCTCATATAAGCTTTTTTAAGTAATTTTTTAAATAAATCTGAGTTTGTCTCATATAAGCTTTTTTGAGTAATTTTTTTAAATAAATCCGTTGAAATTTTTATTTTAGCTAGTTTATTAGATAATTTTACAACATTTTTATCATATCAGCTTAATTTTTAGCCATCAGCCATGAGTTATACTTGTAATCTATTAGCTAATTTATTAGCTAGGTATACCGAATATAGCATAAGATTTGATTCAACTCACAAAAATACATAAATACTTGAGATCAACTTGTATTTTGTTTGAGTGCCTCTTGAATTTTAAATAAAAAAAAAAGATTTTTTTTTTCTTGAGATAGGTTGATTTAACTAAGAGTTTAACTCGAGTTAATGGTACTTACATAGATACATTTATATTCAAATTGCTTGTCGAGCATTCAAACTTATAACATACATGCTTGACTTATATTCAATCAAACTTGAGTTCGAGTCGAACTTTTACTTAGCGAGCTCGTGAATTATTTGATTATTTCTTATTTTCGACCTAATAAGTTCCACGAGAGTGTGATTGATAAATCAAATGAAAAATAAATAAATTATTTTCAAAAAATTATTGACAAAATATACAAATAATGCCTCCTTGTAAAAATAAATTAAATTCAATTTCTCTTATCAACATATAAATAAAATTCTCTTGTCAGTATATAAATAAATCCCAATAATACAACCACAGTCAAAAATCTCCACACAGCCGCAAAATTAGCGTAAGCTTTCGCCATCGGCAATGGAATCGCTGATACTGCAGCTTCACGATATCTCCGCCGTGAAGTTCGGGAACTTCAGGCTGAAATCCGGCATCTCCTCGCCAATGTACATCGACCTCCGCCTCGTCGTCTCTTATCCTTACCTACTCCGCCGAGTCTCGAACGCCCTCGCCGCGGTGATCCCTCCCTCCGCCCGGTACGACCTCGTCTGCGGCGTCCCGTACACCGCTCTCCCCATTGCCACCTGCTTTTCTGTGTCCGCCGATGTCCCGATGGTCATGCGCCGCAAAGAGGTCAAGGACTACGGCACAGCCCGAGCAATTGAGGGGGCCTACAGGCAAAATCAAGCTTGCCTCATAATTGAAGACCTCGTCACGAGCGGCGCCTCCGTGCTCGAGACGGCGGCGCCGCTCCGTGCGGCAGGCCTGAATGTCACCGACGCGGTTGTTATGATTGATAGGTGAAATGATTCCTCTATTATAGGTCTGTTTTCCCTTGAGAGTTCTGATTAATTATTTGCTGAGATATTCATTTTTAACACATTTTCTACTAAAAATTGATTTTGCGGCGGTTATGTGGAAGGTAATATGGGAAGACAATAACGAATGACTTGTGTGATGTTTTTAGCTTCTGAGGGTATAATGTGGTCGGCTAAGTGGTATCTTTTCTTCTGCCACACCAGTTGCTCAGGCTGGATGCAGTGATTTTGGTGTGTACTTCAGTCTTTTTCTGTGGTTTAGATAGATTATGGCATAAACTTTGTGAATGCAGCCTCTTGAGAGCATGGCACATATTCATTTTATGTGCTGACTAATGCACTTGTGCTTAGTCATAGAAGCATAGCTTTTGTTTCTTAAGTTTAATATTATTGAACATACTTCAATGGGTTGCAACATCAACACATATGATAGCTCGATGCAGCAGAGCGCGCTTAATCTATTTGAAAATATATTAAAACAATCTTTGGGGAACTGAGGGAGTGTTTAGCTTGACAACCATACACTGTTAGGTGTGTGTTACAGAATTATTGTAACCTAAGCATTCTGTAACGTGAAACATTTTTTGGCATACCCAGTCATTGTTGTCTTATTTATTGTTCGATACAGGGAACAGGGAGGGAGGGAAAATTTGGCAGAAAATGGGATTACATTACACTCAATGGTGAAGCTGAGTGAGATGGTAAAGATATTGAAGGAGAAGGGGAGGGTTTCAGAGGATACAGAGAAAATGGTCGTAAAATTCTTGAAGGAGAACCAAAAGCTGCCAGTACCAGTGGCAGCAGCTTCTGAGAAAATGGTGAGAGTCAGACTTTCTTATGAAGAAAGAGCGAAGATGGCAAGGAACCCGACAGGAAAGAAATTGTTTGAGATAATGGTGAAGAAGGGGACTAACTTGTGCCTGGCTGCTGATGTTTCCACTGCTGCTGAGTTGCTTGACATTGCAGACAAGGTGAGTTTGAATGAAAACAGTTCCTTTATGTGTTTCATATCTCTTTTGCAATGCATCTTTCCAAAGCATCATGTGTGTATCTTGGGAGCATAAATACGAGTATCATATAAACAGAAAGGCATGTTCTGTATATCACAATCTTTTTTTCTTTTTCTTTTTCTTTTTTCACATAAAAGTCCCTTCCAGTCAGATATCCTTACTAACAAAAGACAAGAATTGTCTGGGAGCTAGAAGCCCACTAAAAGATCATTTAAAAATCTCCACTTTCTTTGTTAAAGATCCTGAGGTGTTGCGTGAAGGTTCGTGGATTTTATGAGTAAATTGTTCTCCTTGTATGCCCATATATGATACTCTTTTATGCCACATGTTTGGTACTAATACTTGAAAACTGATTTATTTTACAAAGCATCTCGGATTTACTGCCTAAAACCGTTTCTTTGTGTGTCTGCAGGTTGGGCCCGAGATATGCATGTTGAAAACCCATGTGGATATATTGCCTGATTTCACTCCTGATTTTGGACCTAAACTTCACTCGGTATCTCCTTGTTCTGTTGTTATCTTCACTCTTCTTTTTATCCGATGCACCAGGATAGCACTTTGACCATATTCATGAGAGTGCCAAGATCCATAGTTTTCTAAGGCTAACATCATGTCACCACACAGTTGCCTGAAGGTATTGTTTTTAGGAACCGTTGGATGGTTCATTTTGAACCCATGTAGTTCATGACAACTCAGACAATTCTTGAAAGCAAACATTTTGTGAAGGAGTGGCCTTTTCAAGATGAAGTAGATCAGTTATTGAGATTTCTATGCCAAGTGATTTTACACCCTTTTAATGATCATCCTATTAACCTCCAAATGAGTGATGATATAATAAAGAATGATACCTCTCGGATATAGATAACATTTTGCATTTATTTCTCTCTATATGTTGCTGAGGGTGCCCTATTGGAGGTGGTGAAATGGGTTTTTACATCTGCAGAAAGTAAAATAATTATCTTCAATTCTTCATACAGCTTTACCCTCTGGTCTCCTCTCCATGCAGGCATTCCAAGCGCCAAGTTCTAATGTAATTTTTTGTGTCATGAAAGTAAAATCTCGCGTGTTTTCTCCTGTTCTCTTCCCCAAAAATAATTTTACTTGATATAGCATCCTTGAATTTGCATTTGTGTCCTTATCCATTCACTTTTATTAATTTGTTCTACTTCATCATATGATAGGAGGATTGTGTGACTCACGGAAGAATTGTAAGTATTTCCTGATGGGTATATGTTGTTCTTGTTTGTTAAGTTGCCGCCTTGCATAATTGCATTTCAAATTCGGTTGGGCAGGATCCTGGTTTTTTTTTTTCCTTTAAAGAAATTTTTTTATACTTGTAAGTTTCTACCATTCCCCATATAAGCTTGTATCGTCCTTTTCTCAGGAAAATTGAAATGTGTTTTCCCAAGTTGGCCAAACTTTCCATTAGGCAACCAAACTTGTTCCGACTAATTTTTATACATTTAAAGATTGCAGAGAAACATAATTTCTTAATATTTGAAGATCGCAAGTTTGCTGACATCGGTAACACAGTCACAATGCAGTACGAGGGGTGAGATTCTACTTCCTAACTATCTCTTTCTTTTCTCTTCCTTTCCATTTGTAATCTGGATTCTTTTATTGCTTTTATTTAGAGTTCTCATTTGTTGTATGCAGAGGTGTCTTCCATATATTGGAATGGGCAGATATTGTGAACGCTCATATAATTTCCGGTCCAGGAATAGTAGATGGGCTAAAACTAAAGGTGTGGATTTCATCTGCTTTTGGCCTTAGGGTGGGCTATCAGATATTTACTAATTTATGCAAGAATCTAGGATTTCAACTTTTCAACTTTTATGCTGTGCAGGGTTTACCACGTGGCAGAGGTTTGTTGTTGCTTGCTGAGATGAGTTCATCTGGTAACCTCCTTAAGGGTGACTACACAGCTGCAGCTGTGAAATATGCCGAAGATAATCCAGATTTTGTAATTGGATTCATATCTGTGAACCCTGCTTCATGGCCTGGCGGGCCAGGAAACCCGTCCCTTGTTCATGCAACACCTGGTGTTCAAATGGTAAAAGGTGGAGATGAGTTAGGCCAAAAATATAGCACCCCAAGCTCTGTAAGTCACATTTGTGATCTATTTTTATCCCATATAGTGCTAATTGTTTGCCATAGTTTGAAGTTAACAGGTTCCTTTCCTAGCTGGAAAAAAATTAGGTCACTTTTTGATATTAATAAAAAATGCTTGTTGAAGTTAATTCAAAAAAAAAAAAAAGGTTTAATAGTTCAAAATTTAAGTGTTTGATTCGGATTTGGACAATCCTAGATGTACATAAATTATTTACATAGTGGTGTCCATACTTTTGCATAGAATGAGGCCCATTTAATAAAATATTTGGATGGCCCTCACTTCATGTACGTGTATGTAAACCATTATGTACTCTAGGAGTGTGTTTGTTAAGACTTATTTTTAGCTTTATAGCTTGGAAAACTCTGACCTATGTAAGTGTTTGGCGAATTAGCTTATAGCTTACAAAAAAGCTCTTAGTTTTGAATATCCCACATAGCATCTCGTTTCATAAGCTTTCGGATGGTAGCTTTTAAGCCTTTGGCTTGTTTTCAACTACATTCACCAAATTCCAAATATACTCTAAATTTTGTACAAATAGCAAAATCCAATCATATCTAAATAAAGATGCATCGACATTTGACGCTTTTACCACAGTTAGAGAGAACAATTAATTTTTTATTATTTTTTCATCTTCGATATCATTTTGCACCGAATTGTTCTTACATGGGATCGATCAAGTCGAGAAAGGTGTTTATAGCTCTCCAAGTTACAGACTGGTCTTACTAGAACTTGTTGTTTCAGGTAATTTCAGACAGGGGCAGTGACATCATTATAGTTGGCCGTGGAATTATAAAGGCAGCAAACCCTGTAGATGCAGCTCGGGAGTATCGCCTTCAAGGATGGGATGCATATTTAGCCAGTTGCAAGTGAAAACTGCCACTGATTGCTCGAATTTCTGTAAGAAACTTCCAGCCAAGTATTGAGGATTCAGTTTCATGTTCATGTATGTGGAGCTTATTTTTAGAAACGGGATGATTGCATGAAACTATGAATTCAACGTTAAGTTTTAACTTGTGCGAATTAAATAAAAATTCTCTCTTTTAGAATCGGGAGAATCGGCAATTTCTCAATGATGTGTTTCTATTTACAAACTGTAACTATAGATTGGAACTACTCATAGAACAAACATAAATCTCCTGTGTCTTTGTAATATCCGCAGCATTTTTGTAATATCTAAAGCAGCGACGGATCCAGAAGTTTTCATGAGTGAGGGCAAAAATTAATTGAAATTTTTTTATGACCATATTGCACCAAATGCTTACATTGACAATTAATAAATCGTTGAAGTAATCGTGTTGAGGTATTCCCTATTCAAATTGAGTTTGACTTAATGCTAAAAAATAAAATGGTGAATAAAGTCTGGCTATTTGATTTTGTATTTCTATTATTGTTAAGAAATATACCAAAAATATTTTATAATCACTTTTCCTTCATCTTTTATAATAAGTTATAAACAAGTCATTTTGAAATATAATTTATTAATTAAAGAAAAGCCTAAAGGTCATCATTTTTGTTTCTGTTATTTTATGATAGTTCCTTATGTATTATCTTATTACCAGGATTTTTCATTGTCAACTATCAACACTTTGTAATTCTGTATGTTAATTTCTAAGGATTCAAAATAGTTCATATAAATATGGACCTTTATCTAGAACTTTCAAATTTGAACACTTTGCTAACTTAAATTACAAATATATTTAAAAGTTAATAACACTTATAGTTGTTATCATTTTTTATGTATGATAGTAGTCATATTTTGACGATCTATAATTTGGCATTCATATCGTATATATAAATTAAAATAATTGGATCTATTTGATCTATATTAATAAAAATTTAAATATTTTTATCAATTATAATTGAGAAAACAATAAATTTATTTATCAAACCTACTATATGGTATAAATACTAAAAATAATGTAATATAATACTACCGAATCTGACAGGTGAGGTGTATCATTTTAAATAAAAAATAATAATATTATTTTGGAAGGATTATTTAAAAATTTAAAATATAACCTTGTATTTATATTTTTACAAATATTAAATATAAATTTTTAATTAACACATGTTAACTATATAAATTGTATAGTTAGCACAAAAAATCCAGCGTAAGCAATGCCTAGGCTGGCCTACATGTAGATCTGCCAGTGATCTAAAGCATTTCAATTTCTCTAAATTTATTTTTTGCCCCTCAATAAGGTGAAAATATCCAATTGAGATACTTCAAAACAACAAATATAAATAAAGAATATATAATTCAATATTTCTTACGTTTACACCAATTTTTACCCTGGCCTGGGGCGAACGTAGACTCGCAAGATTGAGGAGTAGTAACTTTTACAAAGTGCAAAAAAAAAATGATAAATATTCTCTGCATGTTCTTATATATTATATTACTCATAATTACATAAATTCAAATTTAATTAAATATATCCTTTTCAAATACCAACATTTGTTGTATTGGATATTCTCACAACGTCACATTAGTGGACATCTTTATAATAAAGATAAATATTTTATTAGTTAAAAAATTAATGACAAACACAATTTAGTAGCTAATTTTAAACTTATAATTATAATTTTGAGAACACCTCAAATTCAATATGTAAATGTTGACTATTGTAGAAAATTGATGTAACTCATTTATATATGTTACCTACAAACATAATACAAATATAAAATGAAAACAACTTAAATTTTAAGAAAATTTCTCTATAATTATTTTATAATATAATTATATATATACTAACTTTTTTTTAAAAAACACTGGACAGGGACCCGTGCCCCTACTAGGCCCCTGCCTAGGTCCGCCACTGACTCTGGCTTGGCTAGAACCTTTTTATCCTGCCAAACATAGTCAACTTGACCATTTTTTTCTATTTCTAAAAAATATTATGTTTATATCTCATATAATAAATATTTAAGACGAGATACAATATTACTAAAACTTTGAGGTATAAAATTTAAATATAACTTTAATCTATAATTTTTTCTAATTAATTACTCAACACGTTAAATCAAATGGTGGACTCGGTGACCTGGGATTTAAAACATTGTCGTAAACTCATAATCACTTATAAAATATTCAATCATTTATATATTTTTTCTCATAACTTTCAATTATCTTTAATCAGTATTATAATTTCACATCCATTTTTATTTTCAATTATTCAATTGTTATGTAGCGTGAATTTCACATGAACGTGAATTTTCACGCGCACTAAGTTTGCGTCCCCCGAAACTGGAAAACCTTATGTGTCCGACAATTCCCAACCACTATATATAAAGAAAAGAAGTTGGGCGGAAAGGAAAACACCTTTTGCCCACCTTCTCAAATCTTCTGATTTTCAATGTTATCCACTTTCTGACTTTTTATTTTTATTGAGAACTAAAGATTCAATTTTCATCCAGAAATCTACTGACCTAATCGAATGGATCAGTTATCTAAACAATTTTTACTCAATTAATCTAACCCCGTTATTCTGTTTGTTGCATGATTTTATTTTCTTTTAATATGTTCTTATTTATTTAATTCTTCTTGAAAGTGGTTCCGACAAAGTGTTTTGGTGATATCCCAATGATATGAATAAATCTCAATTTTGTCATTGTTCAACGGACATAATCAGCCCAGACTCTTATCATGTAAGAAGAAATGTTTCTGTTTCGTGATTTCCCCCTGTTTTTCCTATTTCCCCCGATCCTATTCCTTGGAAAAATTCGAGTGTTGTTCGTTGTTTCTTTTTTTGTTGTACTTTGTTTCCTTAAAAAGGTGAAATGGGATGTTTTTGTAGGAACATAGAGCCTGTTTCTTGATCTGGGGCCTGAATTTCTGCGGCTTACAATGTCTATTCAACAAGGAAATACTGAGGCTAAAGATATTGAAGGTATTTTTTTTGTGTAATCAGTAAACATTCATTGGATTATTGGAAGTGTAGGTTTTTATTACCAATTGAATAAAACACTGAATTAGTCCGGATTTGTATATATTTTTAGTGCTTTTGGAAGAATGGTTTTTGCCATGATTACTAGCCTCACTCTTTTGTGGATTGCATATTTTGGTTTATGTCATAGAGGGCATTGATTGATTCAAGTGTGTGCAATCTTGAATATATTTGTGTCATAGTCAGTATTGCATGTTGAAACATCGATTATATAGTGTTTGTGTGATTTTTCTTTTAAAGAAAAATTGGTTGATTTCACCAGCTCAAGCCCAAATTTTTCATGTTGCAAGAAATGAGATTTTGAATTACTATGTGCAGCAGCTGAAGCAGGTTTTTGTTGTCTCTATGATCTCTTAAGAAGGGAAACCTCATCTAACTGGGGTCAAGACTCAGGCGAATGGAAAGATTATAACTCATGTAAGTACGATTATATGTTTCTTGATTCGTTTCATTAGTATATCTGCTTTTCACCATAACACACTCTTTTATGTCCTCGATATTCTTATGTGGATCATGTGATATTATCTAACAAAGAAATTAGAAACTTAAGGTTCCCTTAATGTCTATGTTCAACTCTTTTCTGACGGTTTCTCTCTTCCGTCAAGTGTGTCTCTCTTTTC